AAGGCTGCGCCAAAGAATAATTAAAATAAGTCCAAATAAAACATAAAAGTAGGAGGGTCCCAGTAGTAAGTGGTATTGCGACTGATGTAATAAAAAATAAGTCCAAATCAAACAATAAAAAAATCAGAGTAGGAGAGTCCCAATAGTAAGTGGTATTTCAACTGGTATGATATCTTCCTTAGTAGTGGTCATCCGTTTCACGATATGAAAGACACAATGGGAGAGAACCAATAGTGTAGAGTGTATAAATAGATAATATATAAATAAAATATAGATTATACACTCACATTTCCATGAGCTAGGACTAGCTCTAGTATGATGGGCATACGGCGGATAACCCTCCGCTTAGTGAATAACCCTGTCTGTTTTTTATATGTTCAATTGCTAGATAAAGTACAATGAGGTTATTGTATCCTGCCTGTGATCCTGCATTCCTCAAAAGCATACGGCTTAAAGGGACCCTGTCCCTTTATAGATTTTATTTTTACATTATTCATACTGTATGTATGGTCTTAGTTCCCGCTGCAAATTGTGAACACAGGGGACAGTTCTCCGGTGTCCCCAGATGCAAGACACCAGGGAACTAAAGCAGTATGGTGGGACAGGAACCCAAAATAGGGACTGCCCTGCCAAAAGCAGGACTGTTGGGAGGCCTGCATCAGTCAAAACAATTCTGCAAAAAAGGTCAAATGGCAGATATCCTGGACAGAAAAGAAGAAAATGGAAGTGCTGCCTCGTATTAAGATCCAGAGCAAGAAAGAAAAAAAAAAAAAGTAAAACCACTGACAGGTGAAGCGGATAACATTGATATCATTACAATGGCACCTGTCAAGGGGTGGGACATATTAGGCAGCAAGTTCCTGAATTTCATGTGTTTGAAGAAGGAAAATGGGCAAATTAAAAATCTTCTGATTGACTTTGACAAGGGCCAAATAGTGATGGCTCAACGACTGGGTAAGAGCATCTCCAAAACAGAAAGTCTTGTGGGTGTTCCCGGTACATAGTGGCTAGTACCTTCCAAAAGTGGTGCAAGGAAGGAATATCAGTGAACCGGTGTCAGGGTCATGGGCGCATTGGGGCTGCATAGACGCACGTGATGAACCCTGTCCAACACCAAAAGTGCATTTAATGGTCCAGAACTGGTCCATGGAGCTATGGAAGAAGGTTGCCTGGTATGATCAGGTGGATGGCTGGCTGGGTGTGCGTCATTTACCTGGGGAGGAAATGGCAGCAGGATACATTATGGGAAGAAGGCAGGCTCTGGACAATGTTCTGCTTGGACACCTTGGGTACTGGCATTTATTATTACTATTATTTTATTATTTATATAGCGCCATCAGATTCCGTAGCGCTGTACAATGGGTGGACTAACAGACATGTAATTGTAACCAGACAGCTGGACGTACAGGAACAGAGAGGTGGAGAGCCCTGCTCAATGAGCTTACATTCTAGAGGGATGTTACTTTGATACGTACCATCTACCTAGATATTCTTATAGACTATGTACACCTCTTTATGACAATGGTGTTTTCAGATGGCAGTGGCCTCTTTCAGCAAGATGATGCACTCTGCAACACTGCAAAAAAAATTCAGGAACGGTTAGAGGAACATGACAAAGAGTTAAAGGTGTTGCCTTGGCCTCCAAATGCCCCAGATCTCAATCTGATTGAGCATTTGTGGGATGTGCTGGAACAACAAATCTGATCCATGAAGGATTGCATCTCACAACTTGCAGGACGTAAAGGATCTGCTGCTAATGTCTTGGTGCCAGTTACCACAGAACACGTTCAGTGGTCTTATGGAGTCCATGCCTCGAAGCACCAGAGCTGTTGTGGCGGCACAAGGGGGACTTATATGATATTAGGCAGGTGGTTTTAATGTGGCTGATCAGTGTAAATAAAAGCAAGTACCGTGTTTCTCCGAAAATAAGACCGGGTCTTATATTAATTTTAGTCACAAAAAACACACTAGGGCTTATTTTCAGGGTAGGGCTTATTTATTTACGGTACCGGTATGTACATTGAACCCCCCTTTAATTAATGCACCCCCCTCTTTAATAAATCCACCCCCCTCTAATTAATCCACCCCCTCTAATTAATCCAGCCCACCCTTTAATTAATTCACCCCCTCTAATTAATCCAGTCCACCCTTTAATTAATTCACCCCCTCTAATTAATCCAGCCCACTCTTTAATTAATTCACCACCCCTTTAATTAATTCACCCCCTCTAATTAATCCAGCCCACCCTTTAATTAATTCACCACCCCTTTAATTAATTCACCCCCCTCTAATTAATCCAGTCCACCCTTTAATTAATTCACCACCCCTTTAATTAATTCACCCCCTCTAATTAATCCAGCCCACCCTTTAATTAATTCACCACCCCTTTAATTAATTCACCCCCTCTAATTAATCCAGTCCACCCTTTAATTAATTCACCCCCCTTTAATTAATTCACCCCCCTTTAATTAATTCACCCCCCTCTAATTAATCCAGCCCACCCTTTAATTAATTCACCACCCCTTTAATTAATTCACCCCCCTCTAATTAATCCAGCCCACCCTTTAATTAATTCACCCCCTTTAATTAATTCACCCCCCTCTAATTAATCCAGCCCACCCTTTAATTAATTCACCACCCCTTTAATTAATTCACCCCCTCTAATTAATCCAGTCCACCCTTTAATTAATTCACCCCTCTTTAATTAATTCACCCCTCTTTAATTAATTCACCCCTTCTAATTAATCCAGCCCACCCTTTAATTAATTCACCACCCCTTTAATTAATTCACCCCCTCTAATTAATCCAGCCCACCCTTTAATTAATTCACCCCCCTTTAATTAATTCACCCCCCCACCCCGTTTAATTAATTCAATTAATCCCAGACATAAAATATCTAGCGGTACTCACATTTCAAAGATTCCTTGCCGAGTCCGACCACTGGGAGCCTCACCGCCCGGAAATGGATCCTTCCGCTGAAGATCCGTGAAGGCAGACTGACGGCGCTGCGAAATGTCGTCATCACGTTGCGCGATGCCGCGGCCCGCAACGCTCCTCCTACAGTAGAAGACGGAAGTCTCGCCGCAAAGGTACAATGCCTAGGTCTTATTTTCGGGGTAGGGCTTATATTGCAGCCCACCCCGAAAATCCGACTAGGGCTTATTTTCGGGGTAGGGTTTATTTTCGGGGAAACACGGTAGTAATGAGGGAAGTATTATTATAATACAAAGGCAAGCCCGACAAGCCGGGGTCAGGATACCAAAAATCACAAGTCAAATACGAAGCCGAGGTCAAACAAGGAAATCACAAGAGAATCACTAGGAGCACTAAACGGGCGTAAATAGGCTTACCTATGTTCTGATAGGTCCACGTCATCACTGCGATCCAAAACAGATTAGGATCACAATGATAACATGGTCACTTTAAGAGTGGGCGTGACGTCACGTCCACATCTATATATAGATGTCCTGCTGCGCGGCTGCATAGTTCAGTCAGAACGTGTGGCAGGAGGAGGTTGACTAGGATCGAGGGAGGTGAGTCTACCTCAATGTGCCGCGTGGTCGCGTGGAGCCGCACTCGAGTACTTGCTCCGGATCTGGAGAAAGGAGTCTGTGGAGCATGAAACATCTTTTGGCCCCTCTGTGATTTTGGAAAAGGCACCCTGAGGCTCTTTATCACCATATTATTCTGTGAGTGTATTCATAGTAGCAGGATTACACTATATTATTATTTTTCTTTCTGAAGAGTTACAACTATCTCCATTTTATATATTGCATATTGACGGTTTTGATGGGGACACCATCTGAGAAAGCTCCCTGGGGAAGCTGTATATCTAAAAGTTAAGTCGTATATCTTTTCAATACACCTGACACTTATGAGTTGTGGGATATATTAGTGTTCGAAAACCGACGGTAAGTCTGCAGGGAGTAAAGCAGGAAAGACCATAGAGACTAACTGTTAGTAACACCGTTTGACCCAAGGTGCATGTATATGGCTGATGGGTCCTGTCATATATACTAAAGGTAGTTACATAGTTACATAGCTGAAAAGAGACTTGCGTCCATCAAGTTCAGCCTTCCTCACATATGTTTTTGCTGTTGATCCAAAAGAAGGCAAAAAACCTAGTCTGAAGCACTTCCAATTTTGCAACAAACTAGGAAAAAACTCCTTCTTGACCCCAAAATAGCAGTCAGATGTCTAATTGGATCAAGCAGCTACTATCCCACTAATTAGAAATTGTATCCCTGTATGTTATTGTAACGGATCACCTGGCACCCCGACTGGGTACCTCAGTTGAAAGATGCTCCTAGCGCTTCCTGAGGACTCCAAGCATTGCAGCAGACGCCACAATCACTGAACCAGAGAAGCGTATACCTTCTCTCAAGCATATGAATGCTGTAGACAGTTGAATAGGAACCATATGAATAGGTTTACTCTCCTAGCAGTCAAACTGGAACAGCATACAATAAATCCTTCCTCCAATAATGAGACGACACTTCACGACACTTCACTTTGAGAGTTAAAACAGGAACTCCCTGTACTGTCACATACAGTCTCTTTTATTCCCAATCCACAAACATAGTACAGCCCACAGGGCGTTACAAAACAACCAATCACATATCAGTTACATCCCACACATTCCCTCCCCTTATCCTGAGAGGAAACTCAATTACACATACAGTTAAAACATACTTTCTACCCAACTTTCATAACTCTAAAACCATACATCACATTCACATAAAATTACATATTCAT